CCCCCCCCCCCCCCCGCGCCGCTTTTCTCACCTTGATGACGCTGAGGTACGAGTCCTGCAGCCCCGTGTACTTTCCCACGATAGCGATGCGCACCGGCGTCGTCACCTCATCCACGCAGCTCGCCAGGCGGTCCCACTTCGCCATGTCCGGCGGCGACACGAACCGAGTGCGAGCGAAGCCAAGCTGCCGCCGGAAGATGTTGTGCAGATCCTGCGTCCGTTATCGTTGGTGGTGCAGCAGTTGCGAGAGAAAAAGCGTGAGAGAGAAAGAGAAGGGGGGGGGGCGGCGGAAGAAATTTAGGGGTCGATCGTCGGGCGTGATGCAAACAGCGGGAGGAATCGAAGTCATTGCGTGATAACGTGAAGTTGGTGTTGCTGTACGGAGAAGGAGCGTTTGTTGCTCCAGTTGAATGACCTCGTGGTGTACGAACAGGAGAAGGGACACAACAAGAAAAACAACCGAAGGAATTCAATCAGTCATTTACGACAAAGAGTTGACAAAAACCCAGAATCAGTGACGTTTACGTACGAGGTGCCCTTTAATCTGCTGCTCAATTCTTCTCTCGATACGACGTCTACACAAACGTGAATACTCGGCCACCAAACCTCCTCCAAACACGCGACAAAAAATTACATTGTACAAGGATATCAGCAGTACACGCTTGCAACGTTAAACAAGACAAGGGCATATATCAGATATTCAACGCTCGGCCAGCAGCCCCCTCCCAAATGTAAAAAAAAATACATCGTACAAGGATAACAGGAAAACTGGTACATCTTTCCAAGTCACACAAGACAAGTAGCACAACTCACCTGCTCGACGAGAACGAGGGGCACTTTGTAGATGTTCGTCACGTCGTACACCGTGAGGACGCTTGTCGCCTGAGAAAACACAAACACAAACAAGAAAAAGGGCCGGAAAAAAAAGATGGTTATGTGCTGCTGTGCTACCAACTTGCTGCACTGCGGCGAAACTGAACAAACACCTTTCAACTGCTATGGTATCCTCTCGAAATGGTAGTAGTTCAGTGATTACATGTATATTTTCTCAAAACGAACGTTCCGGTGATCGACACACACATGGGCTGGGACGTGCCCCCTCCCTGTCTCCCCTGCATCGCATCCGCGCTTTGCGTTTTGCTTCACGAAAAAATAACTCCGTGGTCAACTACAGACCCATCGAGAAGAATAGTAGCAAAAAAAAAAGCGATGGAAAAAAGGAGAAGGACAAAACAGCCGGAAACGCCTTGTGTACCATGAGTGCGATTATAAAAAAACACATGCTGAAGACGAGACTGCTGACTCACAGGCACTTGGCAGAAAATGGAGATCTTGTTGCGGGTGGACTCCTCCAGCAACTCCGCGCTGCACAAGCACAAACCGAATTTCCATCACATACCACAAGACAAGGGAAAGGCAGCGGCAGCAGCACGACAAATTTATAACAGTGGCGCACGGAGAAGCTTTGCGCTCAGCCGATGGGCCTACGGGCATATGGAAATGACGAACACGGACGACGGCACAGCAAGTAGCACTAGCACTCGCACTAGCAACAGCAGCAGCAACAGCAGCAGTTGTTGTCGATGTCGATGACTTTCTGAAGCCTGGTTCACCAAACACCCCCGCCATTGCAGTACATAGCAAAATCAGCACATGCGAGCGGGGGCCGCAACATGAAGACCTTGTGCGTGTGTCTCTGAATAAGCAACTCTGGCGACCTCGCCAAAGAAACAGCATTTATAGCTTTCCGGAGGGTGTAAAGCTTGGTTTTAGTAGGGGTTTCGGGTGTGGTATAGGGTGACGATTACGAACCTCATGTACCTGGTAGCGCTTAATATCCTCGTGAAGGCTGTGCCCTCAACAAAGGGGGGGGGGGGGGGGGGG